GAGATTAAGTTTCAAAATACGAATTGGGGCAGAGGAGTAATAAACATTAAGTCTTCGGTGCCATTCTACTTACTGTACTTCAAAATGAAAGGCTGAAAGCTTTCCTCTTAAGATCAGTAACAAGTCAAAAATATCTGCTGTCACCACTCCTATTCAATATCATACTGGAGGTCCCAGCCAAAGCAGTAAGGAAAAAAAGGTGGGTTGGGGGAGGACAACCAAATTAGGAAATAATAAAACTGTTGTATGTATACAAATAACATCATTGTCCACATAGGAAAATTCCAAAGAAAATACATAAGATGTTACTAGAACTAGTAAGTGAATTTAGGAAGACTGCAAGATTTCAAAGTTAACACACAAAAAGCACTTGTAATTCTACATACCAGCAGTGATCAAATGGACACTGAAATTTAAGAAAATTATCATTAACAAGAGTATAAAAAATTACATATCTAGCAAAATATGCAACAATCTCTGTATATTGAAACTATAAAATGCTGACAAAAGAAATCAAAGATCTAAATAAACGGAGATAACCTATGTTCATGAATTGGAAGACTGAATATTAAGACATGGATTCTTCCCAAACTGATGTATGCTTTAACACAACCTCGGGATGTTTTGTAGAAACCAACAATTTGCCTCTAAAGGTTTCATGGGAAAGCAAAGGACCCAGAAGGACCAAAATGATTTTTAAAAAGAATAAAGTTCTGCATCTGACTTCAAGACTTATATAAAGCAAAAGTAACCATGATAATGTCATATTTGGCAAAATTAAGGCCAAGATCAAGGGGATAGTACAGAATTAGATTCACGTAAGTAGTCAACTAACTTTCCACAAAGTAAACACAATGTGAGAAAGAAAGTGTTCCCTACAGTTAGTGCTAGAAGAACTACACATCCATCTAAATAGAACATGAGTCTTGACAAACTATATACAAAAACTAGCTCAAAAATGGATGATACCCCTTAACAGAAAAGCCAAAACATAGAACTTGTAGGAGAAAAACAACAAAAAATGTGCACAACTCTGCACCAGGCAAAGATAAAACACAGAAGCACAAATCATAAAAGAAAAAAATTAATGAACTGAATATACTCAAAATTAAAAGTTCCTTTTTGGGGGCCAGCAAGTAGCATGGTGGTTAAGGATGCTGGACTCCCACATGGCCAACTGTGGTTCAAATCCCAGACCTGGTGGCTCACTTTCTCACTTTCCCTCTCTCTTTCACTCTGTCCCTCTCTGGTCAAATTAAAATAAATAAAGTTTAATAAAATAAAATAATTATAAAAAAAAAAAAGTTCCTTTAAAGTTACGAAAGGGGCCCCAGCCATTAGCGTAATGGCTATGTCACTGAACTCCCATGTAGTCGACCGTGTTTCGAGTCCTGGACCCGGTGGCTTAAACTCATGCTGGGCACATGTGTGTGCGTGCACAAGATTCCGAGAGGAGAATGGAAGAGAAGGGATTGTGGCGTGGCCATCCCCCCTGGGGGATGATTTCTCGCTTTCGATCTCTCTGTCTCTCTCTCTGTCTTTCTGGCAAGCGCACGTGCCCTATAGCAAAAACCTCTCCGGAAAAAAAAAAAACAGTTACAAAAGTGAAAAAACAAGCTTCAGATTGTGTGTGTATGTGTGCATGAGTCTGTGTGTCAGACTGATATAATACACAGAAAATTCTTACAGTAAAATAATCTAATAAAAAAATACACAAATGAGCAAGCTCTCACTCTCATTAGTCACTAAGTAAACACGAATTAAAATTAGTGTGCTATTACATGGCCAGTAGGAGAGCTAAATGACTGAAAGTGTTGATGAGGAATTAGAGTAACTGGTGGACACTGCTGGTGGACATGTAAAATGGAACTACCACTTTGGAAGTTTGGCATTTTCTTTTTCTCTTTTTTTAATTTGTTATTGGGTGCATTCACTTGCAATAGGAAGAATGGGGTTTGAGAAGGCACCCCCTGGAGAATGGCCACATTGCAATCCCTTCTCCATTCTCCTCTCAGGATTTTGGGCATATATGCACATGCACTAACGTGTTTTTCAAGCTTCTGGATCCAGGACTCAAACTGCACAGTCCGCCACGTGGGGTCAAGCTGCCTTAACCACCTGATCATCAGCTGGCCTGCAGTTTCTCAATAAGTTATATATCCACTTACTATACAGCTCAACAAATTCCATACCTCGACTTTTCATCAAGAGAAATAAAAACATAGGTTCACATGAAAAGTCAGAATGAATGTTCAGTTTTATTAAAAACAGCTCCACACTGGAAACAATCCAAATATCCATAAATAGGTAAAATGGTCAACAAACAGTGGTGAATCAATAACATGTACTATAAAAAGACAAAAACATGAAAGACCCTTAAAAACATGGTGGTGAGAGGAAAGGCCAACAGAAGAGTGCACATTGTACAATTCCATTTACATAAAATTGTAAAAGAAATGAAACGAATTCAGTTAAAAAAAGAAGGTAAGTAGTTTCCTAGTGCTGAAACTGCGACTGACTACAAAAGGCAGAACAGAAGTTAGGGAACTCTTGAATGTAGTATGAAAATATCCCACTCTTGGTTGTGGTAATGGGGACATCAGTGTTTATGTTTGTCAAAACAAAAATGAACTGTACATTTAAAATAAGTACATTTCATGTATCTAAGTTATCCTCAATAAAGTGTTGATTTTTTTTAAAGGTACTCTTTGGAAAATAATAACTGAAGAATACTGGTGATGCCCATAATGTATAACCACTTCAAAAAAAAACCACCTAAGAGGGCCAGCTCCATGGCAAAGTGGTTAAGGAAGTTGAATTCTACATGGCTGATCATGAGTCTGAATTCCAATCCTGGCAACTTAAAAAACATGTTAGGTATATTTGCATGCCTGTTCCAATCTCGACAAGTGGGAGAAATAAACAGAAAAGGGATTTTGGTATGACCACGTCCCATCGGGGGGTGCTTTTTCCCTCTCTCCCTTTCTGTTTTGTCTTTCTATGGGAATGCGCATTCAATTTTTAACAATATGCTTAAAGAAATTTTTTTTATCTTAACTTTATTTATTTATTTATTTTAATTTGACTAGAGAGCGGCAGAGTGAGAAAGAAAGGGGCCAGGGGAGAGAAAGAGAGAAAGCAAGCTACCAGGTCCAGGACTGGAACCATGGTCAGCCCTGTGGAAGTCAGAGTCCCCAACCACCACACCACCTGCTGGCCCCTGTGCATACAATTATTATTGTTAAAAAAAAAAAAGAAGAAAACACAATACCTATTTACAGTTTTTTAAAATGTTAACAAAAATGAAGAAAACATAAAATCATCTTGGAAAGTTAAGAATGGTAGGAAATATTTGAACTTATATTGGCCATATATCAGAAGCAGCAAACATTCTAATTAATGCTAAAATATCAGAGGCGTTCTCCTTAAAGTAAGAAACACCAATGTTTAGCTACCAGTGTTACAAATCAACATCATATAGGATGTATGTGCCAAAGCAATGAAAAAATACATGAGTTACCAAAATTGAAATGGAAATCACAAAATTCTGAGCATTTCCAAATAAACGTTAGCTCAATAAAATGATTACGATACATGATAAAGAGAAAATTCAAAAGCTGTCCCATATCAAGAAATATGAAAACAGGAGAAATGTTATGGAATGTTTCCACCTACCAAAGCAGAATAAAAAACTAGCTAGGAATAATGAGGAATGTCACACATATAGAGGCAGAGGGGACTACAAAACTTTCCCTAAAAATACAAAGCAAGATATGAATAACACGAAACCACTCTTCTGAAGGGAGACTCTAATCTATAAAAGTCTGTCCCTTCCAAATTAATCTAAATTTTCTATATGCCCTCATCCAAAAGATACTTTTTATGTAAATCATAAACTGAATTTAGTGTCTACAAAAAATGTCGAAGTCAAGAATATGTTTGATAAAGCAATCAGGAGAGAGAAATGGTTATCCACATGTTAAATATGCATACCCTTTAACTGAGCAATTCCACTTCTAGGAGTCCATGCTCCAGAAATAATCACACACAGACAGAGCAAGTTTACTGAACTGTTGGTAGGTTGACTCCTGGAATGCAGGTAGGCCTAGAAGGGGGAGTTGGATTTTTTTAACCTTCTATTCTTCCATACTGCTTAAATTCTTTAGATCAAGGATGACAAAGTTTATAATTAAACATCAATCAATAGAAAACTGCCTTCATTATGAAGCATTATTTGTGATAGCAAGAAGTGCAAATAATTTAAACATCTCTCAATAAGGGACTAGTTAAATACATGACAGCCTATTTCAAACTCATGAAATATCACTTAGCTTTTCAAGTGTTAGGGACATCTATACATAACAAGGAAAGATGTTCAAGATAAAGTGAAAAAGCAAATGATCCGCAAATGTTTGATACTACCTTCCTCACACTCTGCATATATGTACATGTGTTTAAAAACGCCTTTGTAGGACTTTGAAAGATGAACACTAAACTGTTAACTGTAGACATTAGAGAAGGACTAGGTAATAAAAATAAATGCTCTTATTTTACCTAATAGTCCTTTACTTATATTGCTGAATTTTATGTCAAGCTTGAAAGCCTGTAATTAATTTTTTAAAAAGTCATTTAATATAAAATAACATGAATTCCAGAAGACAATTACAACACTGAAAAAAAACTTTTATTTCTATTATCTTCAGGTTTATTTACATACTCTTCAAATGATCTGTGGTCTTTCAGCAACGGTGACTGCTATTTTAAAGAAATGTGGTATTTTTCTTGATAAAAATTACAATATAGTAAATGCTTTAAAAAACTGTAAACTTCATAGAACCAGCAGACTCAAAGCAGTGTTTATGGGGATGTCAATTTGTCAATTTTTATTTTTAAAGGCCAAGAAAGAAAAATCTGTCGTATTCTTTTTCCTCCCTTGCGAAAAGGATTTGGTACCTCCTCCCTTTTCCTTCAACTTGGTCGGAGCGGCTTTTTAAACTCACCATTTTGAACGTGCGCAAAATGATTACAGGAGCAGCAGCTCGGGAGGCCGGCATTGAAGGTGCAGCTGCCCGAAGCGTGCTCTGCACTGACGTCGCTAACGGAGAGCAGCATTAGCTGAACGACACTATGGGAAGAACGACTGCTACGGTTTGTACAGGCTGTCTGCATCCCGGAGCCCGGTGACAGCCGGGGAAAATGCTGAGCGACAGCAACGCAAGGCGTTTTGGGGGAGGGAGGCTGCAGGCCTGTGGCGTAACACAGATAGTCTCTGAGCTGGGGACTAGCTACGCGCAACGAATGTGGGTTCGGGTTTTGGTGGGAAACACGCTTGTAGGGCAGCGAGTGTGGGGACAGGCGGCGGGGTCCTTGGCCAGGGCACCAAGGACAGCAGAAGAGACGGCAGGGAGGAGCGGCCGGCGGAGACCCCCGATACCCACCGATGCCATCCCCCCAGGGGGCCGCGGGCGCCGTGGCCCCAGACACGAGCACGGACCCAGGGCAGGGCTGGACAGGCGGAGGAGGTAAAGAAGGCCTCGTACCGCCATCAACCCCACCCACCATGGCCGGCGCGGAGGGCCGGGGATTCTCCTCGGGCAGAGAAACTAAGATACTGAAGAGCTGAAGACAGCAGTTTCCTCGCACCGACCCCCACGCTCCCGACATGAACGAGCCAGATTTTAAAAAAATAT